TCATATATTGCATTCAAACGGATAGCGCACTCTAGCGCCTCACTGTTTCAAACGCGTATTGCAACTATGGTAGCCGCTGTGTACCAAACACCTAACATAACATAACATTGATGAAACCATGTCACCCGATACTACATGGAGTATTCATTCAGGCTCCTCCACAGACACATGCCACGAGAGTTGACAAACCCCCTCCTCACCATGCTGGCTGTGTTTACAACGTAGGACTGTTGGGGTGGGTGTAAATCCAAACAAACCAATCACATCTTTTGACAACTGACAAGTGGCTCAACCTCATACACCTCATCCCTCTACTCGCATCACTGCGCCACTGACAGCAGTGCTGGCCTGTGATTGCATTGGTCTGGGCTGCCTGAAAAATGACAGGCATGCCAGCAGGCCAATCACAGCGTCCCTTTTAAAACCTTTCTCCTTCAGCAGCTCTCTCCACCTGGGAAAGGCTACCCCAATGTTGACCCTCGTTTTTTTAATTCACCGGTCACGTTGCCTTTTTGATTCCCTTTTGTGCTTTCTTGGCGAAGAGGATTCCGTCTCCCGTGATGCTGCATGTGCATGATCCTGCATTCTCCTCAAGTGAAACGCCTCTTGCTCCTCTCCTTTGGCTTCTCAGTCACGCAGCGCTGACCTGGCTCTCAACGAAAACGCCGAAGGTGGGGCTGTATGTCCCTTGCTGGCGGATGTATTTTCATGTTGGCGAAATGTTATGGAACCCCTCAGACGACTTACCCGCCGAATGTACAAACAAATCCGAAATTCTCCTTTTACAAGAATAAGTCAGGTTATTGGTGGAGGTACTAATACACCAATTATGACATATTTATGAATGCAGACATCGATTTTTGCCAATAAACAACTGAAAATGCTACACAATGTCCCTTTAAAGTCATGAGCTTTATCAGATGTTTTCGAAAGTGTATTTATATAATTCAACAGATCATCTGCATGTAGTGATGACTATGATGAAATGTTTTTAAGAAAATCAAGAGTTATACTTCTTGTCAATTAAATAAGAAACAAGCATCCAAATGGTTGCAGTCTGCTTGGTCTCTGATCACCGCCATGATATTCAAGTGATTGAAACAGACCACTGTTTGAGACCAACAGACTGCAAAACTCTTTGTTTTTTAGTGATCCGTTGCTGTGTTTCCACTGAGGACAGTGCCACGAAAAGCTATTGTTTTTTTACAGAAATGTTGCTCAATCTTCCAGCAGCTTTTTAGCCACCAAATGCTGTTAACCACAGCGTTGTTAGAGCGTGAAGTTTCAATGTCCCTTGTGTGCAGGAACGTACAATGCCAACACTTACTCTGTCAATTAGGTTGTTGCTTGATTGCAATAAAGAAACTTTAACTGCTCCAAGTGTCCAAGTGAAAATGATGTTAATGAGATAGATACGTCACTTACTACTAATAGAATACTCTCCTTTAACTTGATAAGATGGAGGCATGAATGCTTTTTGAGTCAGTGAGTCTGTCCTACAATGCTGTCCAGAGCAAAATACCTCAACAATGGGCCAGGGTACCATTATGTGTACTTTCTGTGGATATTCACTGCCCTCAGAGAAAGATTAAAGATCTTGGCGAAGTCTATCAGCATGCTGAAACCACAATATTCACATGTACTAGAGGAATATTGAAATCTATGCAGGAAGTTGTGTAATATATTGAGATCCGTTAAGCTCCTCAGAGGATGAACCTTTTCTTTGAGATAACTACTAACTGGATTGCCATGGAGTTTGTTAAGGCTGCTCATGGTCCCCAGAGGATGGAGCTTTTCTGTTTAGGGCAATCTTCACTTTAAGGACCAACATAGTATCAACGTTTTTAGAAAGGAGATGACTACCGGCTGGATTTAGGTTTGTTAAGACTATGCATGGCCTTGAGAGGTTGAACACTGCCGACTTAAATGATCACATGACCTTTTCTCTAGTCCACCCTCACATGGAAATCTGTACTTTGCACACTAGATATCCTGCTGTATAATGAAACAGGCTGACTGCTATGATATTTTCTGATACTCCCCAGAGGAAGAATCTGTTCTGTAGGGACATCCAGAGGTCACATTTGACCATTTTTGGCCTGCTGCTTCAGTGGTAATGCAGCATGGACAACAAAATCATGACTATTTCTAATGAGGATATCAGCCTGTATGAGCACGACTGGAGCTCTGGTCAAAAAGTCTCGTTACATGCTGTAAAAATCTGCCTCAAAATGGTGACTTTGGTGGTACTTTAATCCACTTTTACCACCCTAAAATTAGGAACTTGTTTGTGTACATATGGCACAGGAAGTGATTTCACAGTCTCAAATCTGTGATGTGTGACTGCTGGATACTGAAGTGTGCGTGTGTGTGCATGTGTGAATGTGTGTGTCTGTTGTTGAGATTAAAACAGGTTTAATCACAGAGCAGCTTCTAACAATCTGTCTGCCAGCAAGTCACACCACGAAGCGCCACTACTGACACACACACACACACACACTGCACGCACTGTGTCCTCACTGTCATGTCACAGAGTGTATCCATGCTCTGATTGGTGCTCACACGCCTCCTAGTTAATTCTATTTTCTTTTCACAATCAGACAAATCAGATTTTATCACAGCGAGCCTGTTATGAATGATGTGGTCCAGCTTTAAAACTGACAGTAATGACCAACAGTCATCTGAAAATAATTTAGAGCCTGGCGTGTTATCCCACATCGGTTCTGGCTCAGCTGTCAGCCCCCGTCTGTGCTGAAGGCGAAATTTCCAACTACAGCGCCTCCCAGAAGTGAAAATGTTAAAGGAGCCTGAAGATGAGGGGATGAAGATTTTCCCGTCTCAGCAGCATTTACTGACGAATCTGAACATCATTTAGTTCACGTACAATTGATGCTGATTATTTCAACTCAATTTTCAAGCAACACAGCACAACGACAGGTGGTGAAAATCTGTCCAATCAGGTCAGGTTGCAGCATTTGAAAGTCTCACATTCTCCATATTGAACTGAGGTGGAGCTACGGACCAATCACAGAAGCCCTTTCAGTGATTTCAATATAAATTTCAGTACATTCAATTCCATTTTTCTCCCGACTTCACTCATGGCATTCACATGTTTCATCTTGTTGAATATACTGACATCTGTAATGTCAGATATATTTGTTTTTGGAGGACTGGTATGTCCCTATGGATCCATTTCCTGACAACTGCAACGTGTTCAAATGCAAGGTGAAGTGCGGTATATTATGTAAAAAGCAGAATACAGGTCAGTCACTGAAAATAAAACCGTAACTGGGTCTTTCAGTTGTAATCAGTGACTTCAGCTGAGCTACCGTCGCCACAGCTGGACAGCTTGTCAACCACTCTGACATATATCTGAATGAATGAATGGCTCTAATCATGAATCTTGTGTGCGTGTGTGTGTGCGTGTGTGTGTGGGAGGGTGAAGTCTCCCAGATGGCACCCAAAGGATTTTCACTGATAGTTCCCTCTCCAGGAATTAGACCACTGGGTTTAGTTGCATCAACGGCTTTCGACGTAACAACCAAATCAAATCACCTCTGTCACTCTGGGCCATGGATCCACATCCACAGAGGAAAAAACATAATAAAACATTACAGCAGCGGAGCTATTCTCACACACACAGGGTGGACGAAATAACAGAAACAGCTCGCCATGTAGTGGAATGCAGGACAACTACAGCTTCATCTACAGAATCAGAAACGATCGGAAAAACCTCAAAAAAAGCTTCTCAACAAAAATCGTTTTGCGATTTAAAGGGGTAGTTCGGGTTTTTTTGAAGGGAGGTTGCATAGGGTTAGGGTTAGCAGGCCCCCAGTTGGAGACACAGGCTGGACTTCCCCATCTCTGCTCCTGCAAATCTCAATGTCAATGGAGTCTGGCTTTGAAGAGAGTGATGTAACAGCTTGATTTTGAGGTTGGAAATCACGGTCTGACCGTAAAGTAAAGTGATGGAAATATGTTAAATAGAGTGTACACTTAAACTGATACAGATTTTTTTTGAGTGTCACTTTTTTTTTCGTGGGTAAAATACACTTAGTTGCTGATCCCTCCACAGCACTACATCACTTAGCTCCCATGTCAGACTCCAGCCTGCCTCTCCAAACTGGGGGCACGCCAACCGACATCTACTGTATTTTATTACACTGAGTATGAATAACAATTCTACTTAACGAAAAACTTACTATCCCTTTAATGTTTGGCATAAATTCTTGAGGAGTAATATATGAGAACTTTATGTAAAGCAGGGCAGACTTCAGCTGACAAAATGACACCACTCAACTGACAAGATCTTTCCTACTTTGGAAACATTAAACGGTCATCAATACTTTATTATAGCCACGCCAACTTGACGTCAAGTTGACAGCTGCAGATAGAAAAAAAAGTGTTTCTTTTTCAGATGTAGAACTCTTCAAAATGAGCAGCTAAAGACCTCCTGGTGGATTTAGTTTGCTTTTAATTTTCCCCCCACTCTGTCCACAGATCATCCTGCATCGTCTTAATGGTCACAACCGTCTGTCTTCAGGAATGACAGCCCAGCCTCTGGGGGGAAACAGCGCTCAATTACAGCATTCAAATCTACACCGAGCTGTCTGGGATCATTGGCATAACATACGTGAACAGTGACGGTGGCCCGACAGCCTGTCCTTAAAGGGCTTATAAGCATCATTTCAAGTTATTTCCGTACCTTCTACCCGACAGTTTGACCAGTATTCATGAGCGTCTCACCCCTGGAGTGACTGGGAAAGTAGCCTGGAGCGTTTTCAAAGGATCTGGGTTACATTTTCTGGCTCTGCTGCTCTACGCTGCTTTTCAATCAGACAGAAATATAATTCACACTCCCATTTGCTGAGCAGGAAAGCTCTGGATGTATCGGTACATTTAGTTTACTCACACACTTGTTCTCCGGGTGTATGGACCCACACATGACGGACCTGAGCAGTCGGTATTTCAATTTCCTCAAATATAAAAAGGAAACTTACCACACAGACAGAAGGTCCAAGCCAAGAATCTGTTATGGTGCAAAAGGAAATCCTTCAAGGTGCTCTCCTGCTCACACAGACTGGGGTATACTTTATTAACGTGGCAAGTTGTCGTACAAATTAGTGGCTGGTAGGTGGTTGTACGCTCAACAGGGAGTAAAACCACCTCCTCCTCACTCGCTGTTCTCTGTCTGCTGGTTTTCCTGATGTTGAAAGAGAGCAGCAGGTGTTGTTGTACAGGCAGGGATTTCTCTCTCGGCTTGATTTTCACCAGGTTTCTGTACAAATCCTTTTCTGTGGAGCGGATAATAAGATAAGTCTGTGATGATGTAGTATGGGGTGATTCCTCTTGAATGAGAATGAATCCAAGAGTTCTAAAAGACAAACCTTCAGAGTCTTGACAGATTTTAGGAATAAAAAGCAGAGTTCACTCAGCAGGTAATCGCTGAGATATCACCCAGTCTCTTCCTCTGTAGGTTTGTTTTTCTCCTCTCAAACAGGTAGAAAGTTTTTTTTTTCTCTTCCTCAGGTCGTCGAGGTTTTTCCTCACGAGTCCAACAGGTTTTGAGAATCTCTTGCTCTTTTTTCCTCCTGTCGCCTCTGATGTGGTTTTCTCATCCAGCGGCCGAAAGTGTTGAACCACAGCTGTCCAACCGCAGCCCCCCTCGAGCACAGGTCACTGCCCACTTCCTCTTCCTGTTATTGTGGTCAGTCTTCTTCGCTGGTGCTCCCTGCTACCGCTCCTTTCCTGTCCTGGAGGGGGGGAAACAGAGAGCAATGGAGCAATGGAGAGGTATGGGAAGACAGAGGAGAGAAAGAGGCAGAGAAGCAGAGAGAGAGCGCATATGTCAAAACAGCTCAAAGACGCTCGGAGAGGCAGAGAAAGCAGCCAGCTCATGTTCATGAAGCAGATGGAGTGAGTGTGTGTGAGAGGAGAAGGGGAGGGAGGCTGATGGAGAGTAAGGTGAGAGAGGCGTTACTTCTCAGTCCTTCTCTGAGAGGGAGAGTGAGACAGGGAGTGGGGGGAGAGATTTATTATTCATGTGTGTGAGATAAGGATTAAGTTAAACAGGTTATTGGGGATAATCCTCAGAGATTTCCCCACATGAGGCTAGTAAATATTTCAGAGGGCTGACTTTGGCGGGTGAGTGTGTGTGTGTGAGTGTATCTGACAGAGAGATCTTGTCTAAGCCGGTAAATGAGATGAGTCGGACGCCCCGCCACACACACATACACACACACACACACACACACACACACACACTCCATCCATCTCGCCCCCCTCCACTCTTCAGGGGGGAGTCGGTCGTCAGTAATTTGGCGAATTGGACAGGAAAGCCGGCTGTGTATTTTTACATGAAACCTCTCCTGTGGCAACAGCAGTCCTGTCTTTCTTTTTCACTCCCATCCATCCCTCTCTTTCTCTCATTCTTTCTTTCTTCTCACTCTCTCTGTTTGCTCGCTGTCTTGTTATTTGCAGTTCCAGTTCCACTCTACATACAATATTTTCATTCAGCAGTGCTGCCGAACATTCTGACACCAAGCTCGTCACATATTGAGGTTTGGTCATGAACTTTCCACATCCACATACAATGTGCAAGGTACCCTGGGTGTGTCAAGTTCATCTTCTTTCCAAATACACTTACGTTTTCACAGGAAGTTTACCGTTTACATACAGTCTCTTTTGAATTAAAAGCACTACGTCAGCACAACACCACAAATTAACGTTTCGCGTATCGCATGTGGCTGGGTTTCGGAAAAAAGAACAGGGTTTGGCTTCATAATCTTTCGTGGCGCGAACACTGCTCTCCCACTTGAAAGTCACCTGCTCTCCTGGGTGAAAGTCAGTTTATGTTGGAGCCATGCACCACCCCTCCCGCCCAACCCACTCAGACTTTCGTCACCTTAACTTTTGTTCTTGTCCCACCACATTTCCTCCTGATGCCACCAAGCGCCATGTCACTATTACGGCGACTGGCCGTGTATCATGCTGACATGAAAGGATGGCCTTCTTTGTCAGGGTCTGACATCGCATGTCACTGCCAAAGCACCAGATTTCGACGACTTCGGAGTGAGACTGGGTTGTTTTCACAGGAAATGTACAGTTTGCATAGTCTCTTTGAAAATAAACACACTGGCCTCTAGTTGCCCGGCAAGGCGCAGGGTGGCGAACCCCACGCAGAGCTAGTTTCGAGCAGCGCAACCCGAGGCACACTCAGTTTGGTAGTTTGGCAGACCGAGGTGTGCTGAGATGGGTGTGGTGGTGCAGCAGGGGGAGGTGTCGACAGATCCAGCTTGGCGCAGTGACAGTTTCGTGCCAAAAGGCTTCGCCGAAGGTGCGCTAAAAGCTCACCAGCTGAAACCAGGTCTACTGTCAGCGCAGGCGGAGTGCAGCTGGTGTAAGCTGAAGTTTGGCTGACCGGCGGACAGTGCGCACACGTCACCAAAACCTCACAGGCAGGTTTCCAGAATGTCAGGCACATTAACGATGCAATAAATATCCAAAAAACACTATTCAATGCAACTATCTGCAATCAACACATAAATATATCTCTATATCGACTGTCCCGTCACATCTGATGTCAGATCAAAGGGGATTGGCACTGTTTGGCACGCGTAATGGAAACCCGTAGAGGTCTGCTCGCAGTTCCGTATATTCGGACACTGCGAGCTTGGACCTCCCGGACCAAAACATCAATTTCCTCCTGGGAGAAGTTTGGCCGTCTGACACTGCTGCTCTCTTCTGCCATGGCGAATTGAGTAAACTCTCATTACGCCTTCGCACGGCACATTTAAGGGCGAGGAGAGGGGCTCATTTGATTGGTGTGATGTGTGTAAAACCCACTCCACGCCTTCTCTCCTCCCTCTTTCTGACTTGCGCAGGTAGGAGGGACAGAGGTGGCAAAGAGGAGTAGCTGCGCCAGTGTGCACAGTGTGCCAAACAAAAAACTAGAGGCCACTGTGTCCGTACATTACAAATTGACTTTTTTTGTTTCAACAACAAACACGTGGTTACATTTGGCCAACACATGCATGTGGCTGAGTTCGAGAAAAAACAACAGGGTTGGGCTTTACAATCATACAAGAAGTGAACACCCACTTCCCAGGTGAAAGTCGGTGGTTGTTGCCTTTGTCTGATCAGTGGAGGCCTCTACACTGTTTTTGACCACTAGTGGTTCTACAGAGCAGCATTTTACAAGTGAGTTCCCATTCTGTTTATTTCATACATTTAACACATTCACAGTCCAGTCGCCAGAACAAAATGTTGGCAGTGGGCGTTTTGGTAAAACCATAACTACGTGACATTTGTGAGTTTCACACATATTGTATCAGCGTTTCTAAAGTGACATGGCACATGAGCTGACTTTATCATCTGGAGGTGGATGGGAGACACCTGCCATGCTGCAGACCACTGTTCAAGACCAACAACAAACAAATGCTTTTTAGCCCCCAAACACAGGTGTTTTTTGGTGACCTGTTGCTGTTCTTCCACCTGGGATAGCGCCACAGAAAGCAAGTGTTTTTTACTGAGACATTGCTGTGTTTTCTGTGAGGATTGTGCAACCAAAGCCAGGTATTTGAAGGCAAACCATGATCTTCTCATAACCATTACCAAGTGGTTGTTGTGCCAAAACCTAATCACATGCTAACCTTAGCAGTGTTGAAACATTAAGTCTCAGAGTATCCACTACATGATGAAGTTCAAGTGTATGATATCTGTGGTTTGCAGTAATGTACAGTACAGTGGCAACATTTTTTTCTGCCGATCGGGTTGACATGCATGAGACCAGCATGTGTGCGATGACTTTCACATCCTGCCACTGGTTTCACACTAGCTGCAGTGAGGCGCCAACAACTGCAGCAATGTGCGCCAACAAAAGCAGTGAAGAAGAAAACTGCAAGGAGGTAAACATGGATGTAAACAATGCAGGCTTGCGCATTTTTGGTTGGTAAAACTGAATGTTAATAGAATGAGAACTCCAGCTTTTGCTGCAGCACAATGTGACATCACCAAGAAAAACACATTACGCTGGCTAATTGAATACTTGCAAAGATACATTTGTGGAAGATCATTTTTTAACATGAACACTGCATTTCTACACTTTTCCTCGTGATTATTAATAATATGAAGTTTTGAAAGTTGTGAAATGTCTTGCGCTTTTATCAGCTGCAGTGTTTTGACACTTTCAGTCTCGAGGATCTGTTAGACAAACCTGCCTTCTTGAAGCCACGCAGTGCCGCTGCATCGTCTGAACGCCTGGTACGAGGTCTTCCGGAGTTATAAAAACATCATGCAGCATCTCATCTGCCCTCATGTTTAACAGACTCTTTCACATGTCCTTTCTGTTAACTCGGAATCAAAAATTATTCGGATATTTTTTACTACCCACCTTTCTCTTTTTGTTTCCCTGGTGAACAACACTTTTCTAAGTGTCGTCTTGTTTTTGACAGAACTAACATCTAACTTTAGGGAAAATGTTTCACTCTCGTCAATCTTACTCCGTCTGAAAGTGTGTGTGTGTGTGTGTATGTGTGTGTGTAAAACTGTCATTTTAGACAGATAAGTGAGAGACTACTGACTTTGATGACAGTTCCACACCAGAGAGAAAGAAAAAGCCTGAAGGAAAGTGTCTGAAATTTTTACATCTATCACCCAACATCATTCTAATCTACTACTATCCACTTACTCTACCATCAGAAATACTCTGGTTTATGTCTTAAGTGTAATATGTATTGCAGGTAATTAATGTAAACAGCATTGAGAGTATTGATCCTTTTAGAAAATGTTGCCTCTAACTCGCCTTTACATTGAGTTAAATTTAATATATGGCAGAGACAGTGATGTATTTACGTAGAGAAGAGGAACAAGAGAGGAAATAACAAAGAGGAAGAGTTTGTCCTCATGTCGGCTGTCTGTTGTCTTTCGACGTGTACAAGAGTGATGGTTGTCCCACAAACAAACAAATGGAACGTCACAAATCTGATGGAAATTCTCTTGTTTACACGTCTCCTTTCCTCTCCCCCTCTGTGTCTCTCTGTCATTCTGTCTCTTCAAAAAATCCTCATGCTCTTGGCCTACTTTCCTAAAAAACACTTTGGCACTAAAAATTGCATCTTCGCTCCGCTCATGACATGTAAGGAAACGGGTGATATCCCCCCACTGGTGGTTTGACTGGAAGATGGCCGCTGGGAGTCGAACATCAAGGACTGGAGGACTGAGAGGGAGACAGAGAGAGAAAAAGCGAGAGAGAGGCAAATGTCTAACATGCCAGATCTTTTTTAACGGCACTCTATCTGCCTAAAGAGGCCGCTTTCATCATTAACACCTACAGCGCTTTTATATTTTTTAGAAGCATATTCAGAGGGTTGACAAAGTAACATGAGCCCCTTTCCGTACACATGTGCTGGCTAGCTTGACTCCGTTTTACTCGCCACGTCAGCCCAGTGCAGCGGGGATTTGTGCATATGACCAAGCTGTCTGCTTGAAGGAGTGTCTTTAATTGATGACATAATTGTGCTTGTGGCGCTGTCATTGACAACTTTCTTACTGTTGTGGCAGCGTGAGGCAGAACCTGCAGCCCAATCAGGTTGCACAAGTACTCCACTGTGGCACATGCATTTGCACAGTTGCAAGAAGGTTTGCTGTGTCTCCCAGCACAGTTTCAGGAGCATGGAGGAGATACCAGGAGACCGGCTGGACAGGGCCGTAGAAGGCAAGGCAAGGCAAGTTTATTTGTATAGCACATTTCAGCAACGAGGCAATTCAAAGTGTTTTACATAAAACATACATCAAGTAAAAGCAATAAAGGCAACATAAAAAGACATTAAATACAATCAGAAAGAGTTACATTGGAAATAAAAGAGCACAATGAATTAAAAAGAGTTTAGTTT